GGAACCGTGACATACACTTAACCTCCTCTTCCTCTCTTTTGCACCTGAAAGCCCTGTGCACAGCAAGTCTTTCCAGCTGAGTGCTTCTCCTGACACACATTCTTAACTCTAACCGAGGAAGAGGTGTGAACTCAAGAGGGCATATCACCATGGCAACTCCCCACAACAGACACAAGCTATCAGCTCAGCACTCCCATCTCTGAGATCACATGGAGATCCACCCTCAGAAAAGACATGTGAGCAGACAGTCTGTAAAACATTAGCCTCGTCTGTTGGACAAGCCTCCAAATCAGTGGCCCAAGGCGAACACAAACTCTGTAGCTGGCTGCCAAGAATGTGAAGCCCATTCTGCACTTCTCAGTCCAGGTATATAAATTGTTACATGTGGGTAATTTGCTAGTGGTGTCCTCTTTCACGATAAAAACTATCCCAAATCATCAAGCTATATGGTCATCCTCAAGGCAGGCCGGCATCAGAAAAATTTTGTAAGACAAAGCAAGGTAAGCCTACTGGAGCTGTTTGCTCACCCATTGCTCTTGGCTGCCTTATAGAATTTGCCCAGCAAATGCAGGGAACAGCAGGCTCCCTTACCAAGGAGCCTTAAGTCTCCACTTCAAATAAAGAACTTGTGACAAAGCAAACAGGAATCTTTTTTTCCCATTTCAAAGGTATCCAGAACCTTAACCTACTGCGTAAGAAGCCAACCTCCCAGGTGACAAAATTGCTGAACGTCAGCACGTCTGGCTGAAGAGTCACACTCTGGAGCAAAGACAGCTGTCCCAACATTGCCCACTTGAAGGGTCACACGCAGTCAACGGAGGTGCTCCCAGGGAAATGTGGCACACTGTCAATGATGAATTTACCAAGTTCATGTGGAGGAACTTGGGAACTACTTGAAACCAAACCTTCTGTGTGCTGCCTGACCCAAAGAGGGTTGTTAAGCGTTTAAAATATTTATTGATGCTTTACAATGTGAGGAGACACATACATACATACATACATACATACATACACGCATAGACACAGACAGATGTTTAAACTCCAATTTCAGCTTTTTCTTGAAAAATCAGAATTTCAACGCTGAGTTTGCATCTATTACTGTAATTTAATTTACAGACAGAGCTGAGTAACCTCTGGGAAGGGACACCCTTGGTCATTTCCCTCACAGTCCTCATGCAACTCTCTTCTGGGGCACTGGAGTCTGAAACTACTAGTTCTTAGCAGAAATTGTCTCAATGGCGACCACATCTGGCCCTTCAAATAAAAGATCTTCTGGCAGGAATTTGCTCAGTTCAGAGCAAATAAGAATCTATATCCCTCCCCTGTGCAGACTATCTTTTATAGTATCAGTAGGTGCTGTGAAAGTTGCCAAGCAATAAACTGCCCTACCCAACTGTGATACCTATGAACCACAGCAATGACCTATAGGGCAAGATATCTCTAACGGTGCAATACTGGCACTCCTATTTTGGTGGTAACCAATAGCTGTGTAATTGAGTTTAAGGAAGGCCTGCTCAGGAGTGAACTCCTGCCTAGTACTGGAAACCTAGCCAACTACCCAAGGTGAAGAAGGTCATGGATCTTAGAGGTGAACCAACTGTATCACTAGTTTACTAGGCCAGCACAATTCCTAACTACATTCTGAAATGTATCCTTGCACTGGAGCGCTCACCCATTATGGAAGAAACTTCTCTTTGCAGAAGACAGAGGCTATTACAGAAAACCACAACTGGTCAAATGCAGAGAACAACTGATTGTGGGGTTCCCAGCCCCAACAGATACATCTACAACCCAACTCCTGCAACTAAAGCTCAGAGAACATTTTGGAAGAGTAGGTGGAAAGATTGTATGAGCCAGAATAGCAAGAATCTTGTTGTGAGGTTGTGTCTACTAGAATGAGACACTGGAACTATGATACCTCGGCAATATGACTGCCTACACAAGACCTGAATGATAACTCCAATAAAAATACTAAGGCAGAAGGGGGAAGTTCTTTGGGTCCCCACCCCTGCACAAAGAACTACAAGCAATTAATAACTGCTGAGAGAGAATTAGCCTTGAGAGGGAGTGAGAAGAGATATAGGATGGATTGAAGGGAGAGGACATATGAGGGCTTGAAAGGAGGAAAGGGAAGGGAAAATTACGTAACTATATTTTAATTTAAAGTTTTTGTTTTGTTTTGTTTTGAGACAAGAGTTTTTCTGTATAGCCCTGCCTGTCCTGAAACTCCCTCTCTAGACCAGGCTGGCCTCAGATGCAGAGATCTGCCTACCTCTGCCTTTACCTCTGCCTCTGCCTGCTAGTGCTGGGATTAAAAATATGTGCCACCATGCCTGGCTTTAAAAAATCTTGGTATATATATGTATACATACCAAGGACCCATCTAGGAAATTACAATAAACAAAAAAAAAATGTTTTTCTTTTCTTTTATCAAAAAGTCATATGGCTTTCACTGTCTTCTCTGAAGTAAAGGTGGTACAGGAGTGGAGTTGGAGTGCAATTAGCCTAAACATTTTATTCGTAAATAATAACATATTCATTCTCTAACACTGAACTGTATGTTGGATATAAAATCAAGGAATGACTTGTAATGGACTGAAAATCCATGCATCCAGAAGGGACTCGGCCACCACTGCTGACAGTAAAGAGTGCCAAGACCTGCAATGAAGGAGGAAGGATATTTCACAGATCAGATCCAAAGAAAAAAAGTGTAACATAAACCAGCCAGGGGCACCAAAGTTCTCCTAAAGGCCTGGAGACTGTAAGGTACTCTTCCTTGTTGCCAGGAACAGAACACTGTATTAGAATACAACAAAGAGAGTGATAATCTCAGGAACTTTCCTATTTCATTTGTGAAATGAATTTTAAATAAAGACGTATTAAATGAACCTCACTGGCTACCCACAGTAGGGAATTAAGTCATTTGCAGTGAAGTATTCTGTTGCAAACCTAACAGTGAACACAAATTAAAATTGCCACCTGGAGGCCTCAACCCTACACAAAGAACTGCAAGCAGATCAGGAATGCTCGAGTGCAAGAAACAGTCTTCCCCAGGAAGAGCACACCAACTGGTTATCCAATGCCCTGAAAACATACATATAAGTAACATTACACAGACTGAGCAGGTTGTATATACGTATGTATATGTGTGTGTGTGTACATATACATATGTGTGTGTATATATGTATTTACATTCAAAACTAACAATTAAAGAAAAAAAGAAGACATGAATTTGAAAGAGAGCCAAGAGGGGTATATGATATGAAGGGCTTGTGGGGAAAAAAATGAAACGAGAAATGATGTTTCTTACAATCTCAAAAATAAAAGAAATAATAGTAATAGTAATAATAATAATAATAATAAGGTACTCACCCTCTTCACATTAGCAGTTCTGGTTGTTTAAGGCATTTGTCTCTCAGGGACTGGCATGGCAGCCAGCACACTTCCTGTTCTTCCAGAGGAGCTCGGCTTGGTTCCCAGCACCTAACAACCACTGTACCACAGCCCCTCAGGGGGACCCAAAGCCCTCTTCTTGCCTCCTCAAGCACCAGTTTGTCCACACCCACGCTCACAAACACACAAATAAAATAATCTCTAAAAATAAAAAATATGTTTTCCTTTTAAAAAGTAATGAAAGAAACTAAAGGCAATTGTCTTTTACTGCAGTTTTATTACAGGACTTTCGTGGAATGCTATCAAACAGTTCTTAAAAATTCCATTTTGGAATGAGAATAAAATAAGGGCTTATTATAGGCTGTTTTTCTCATCTATCCTTAATTTCCCAGCTATCCTTAAATTCCCAGAAGAATACCCTGTGGTAGAACCTGAGACTTTTAAAAATTGTTTATTTATAGTTAGTCAACACTCCTTTCTTTCCCTAAGAACCTCAATCACTTTGAAGATATAAATCATTTTTTTTTAGAAAACAGCACAGGGGTGGGGCTTTAATATTGCAAAGCAAACAAACACAGAGCACACACATACACTTCTAAGGCTGTTTCCCAAGGCACAGTTACTGTAAGTTTTTCTTTTTGTTAGATCTGTGGTTCTCAACCTTCCAAATGCTGTGATCCTTTAATATATAGTTCCTCATGCTGTGGTGATCTCCAACCATTTTATTTCGTTACTACTTCACAAATGTAATTTTGCTACCGTTATGAACTGTAACGTGAATTTCTGATATGCTGGCGACCCCCAAGTTGAGAACTGATATTTTAGTTAGCCCTGTACCTGTTTATTATGAAAGTCAATTTATTAATAGAGTCTATTTAGTAATAGAACACTTCAAGTTAGTAAACTCTGGAGAAATATTGGACACTAACCTAGAAGAGTAATATTCTTTTTAAGACGACTCTTGGAACCTCCTCGACAACCCTGACTTTTAAGTTACTCAAGCATGCATTTACTGTCTCAGTGGGTGCGAAAACAACAGAAAACAACAGACTCCAAATTCGCAGAATCACACTTGGCTGATAATCTCCTGACAGTTCTAGACTTTGCTTTGAAATCACACCCTCCAGACCCGGATACCCGGAGGTGTTTTTGGTGACTGGGATGCGCCGACCTAACAGGTATGAATGCAGGACTAACGGGGCTGACAACCAGTACCGCGCCTCTAGGAAGCCCGCTGTCTCCGTGGCTTCCAAGAAACACACACTTGCACTCACGCACACATTTGAGGAAGCCTGGCAAGCCAGCACCAGTCACCAGGATCCTCCTGGGACCCGCGCTTTTCCTTGAGTCCTCCGCAGACTTGCCATCTGGACCACTCTGCGCCTACTTTCCAGTCTCCCGCTCGGGCCGGCCAGCTGGTCCCGAGGCTAACCCAGCCACCAATCGCTTTCTCTCCCACTCCCAGATTACCAAAACGGAGCGAGAGGGGGGCACCCGAGCGCGCCACGTGGAGCGCGAGCCAGCTTCCAGACAGTTCTTACAAGAGGGATCTCGGCCTCGCCGGTCCCCGCAGCCCTGGTCCCGCCCCTCGTCCCCCCAAAACTTGCCTGGTTGGGGTCGGTGGCGCGGAAAACGTGGCAGGCCATCTGGGACTCGGGGTCGTCGGGCTGCGCCTTAATCAGGTAGGCGAAGTAGGTGAGGTCGTGACTGTTGTGGATGAAACGCGAGATGTGCTGAGCCTTGTGCTCGAAGATGAACACCCCGGTGCTGGGCTGCACGGCCCCGGAGCCGGCGCCCCCGCCGACCCCGGCCCCCGGCGCGGGGACGCAGCGCAGGAAGGGCGCGCTGAGCACCAGGAGCACCTCGCGGGCCGGGGGCGCCCCGCAGCCGCCCGCCTCGGGCTTCTGGCTGCGCCGGCGGATCTCGGCCATGAGCCAGGGTAGCATGGGCAGCGTGGTCCTGCGATCCAAGCACGACCCTCCCACGTACCACAGCCGGAAGCGCTTGTCGCCCGGCTTGGTGGCACCTGGCTGCGCTTGGGGACCCGGCTCGGGCTCCAGGGGGTGCGGGAACGGCTCATCCTGAATGCAGCTAGGCGACTCCATAACTCGCGCCCAGCGAGGGCACCGCGCCCCCGACTCTCACTCTGCAGGCTCCGAGGACACTGCTAACTGCCGCCCCAGGCCCCGCGCCTGCCTCGGTGCCACCAGCCCTGCAAGTCCGTGCTTCAGCGGCCCTGCCCCATGCGACACTTCCCCGGGCGAGGCTCCGGCTGCGGCTCGGCGGACAGGCGGGAGACCGGGGCTCACGCGCGCAGCCCCCTCCCGAGAGCTCGCGCCCGGGGGCTCGGCCCGTCCTCCCGCCGCCCGGGCTCGGGGACCACGGCAGCCGCGCTCTCCCGCTCCCGCAGCCCGCTGCGGCCGGCGCGCTGGCCCAGCGCTGGCGCTGGAAGGCTGGGCGGAGAGCGGGGCTGTGGGCGGGAAGGGGTGACTCGGGGCGGAGCTGACTCCTAGCAGGGTGACCGGCTGTCACCTGGAAGGTCAGGGGTGCCGGGCTGCGGCCCGCTCGGTCCCGGGGAACTACTCCTGTGGAAAATAACAAAAACAAACGTGGCCTCGTGCGGGCGGCTCCTCCAGCCACCGACTGTGCAGACCGGCTCACTGCTCCTCCTCCGGGGTTCCCGTCCCTCCCTCGTTCCTTCCTTCCTTCCTCCCAGGCCGCTACTTTCAAGCCGGCTGCTACTCCGCCTCCGGTCCGCCGGCGCACAGCTTCGCCTGCAGAAGCCGAGCTCCGAGGTCGCCTCCCAGCCTCTTCCTCCTGCCTCCGCCCCTCACCTCGCCTTAGGGGGCAGCCTTACCCAGCCCGGCGCGGGCACTTTCCAGACCAGCCTGGCCTCTCCTCTCCTGGAGACTCTGCTGCCCCCTGGAGAGGAGCCACTCGCAGTCGGGGCTCCGGGATTTTGTTTTTAAGCAGTATTTGCTTGGTTTTATTCCCTCTGAGAAAAAAAAAAAAAAAAAAAAAAAAAAAAAAAAAAAAAAAAAAAAAAAGCCCGAATATTACTATATCCAGCATCCTTTTTCCCCAGTCTCGAGGACTACTCGTGTTTTCAATCACAATTTTATGACAAAATAGTAAATTCTAATATTCGCTTTAAATTTTGGCAGTTTGATATGAATCTTCCCATTTCCTAATGCAGCTAAGTTCTTCAAATATAAAGAAGTTAAACTTTACGTATGTCCACTTCAGAGTTAATGCAAATTTCTTCCCTATTACCTATTGAGAATGCATATTTCAAAAAGTGTTTCAGAGATAATCTGATTATTCTAATTTTAAAAGAGAACAGTAGTAATGTCATTCCTTCTCCGTTTTAGCAGATTAAACTGGTTTTGTTATTACTGCTGCTGTGTGTTTGCTCGTGTTTTAAGTCGAAGTCTCCCTCCTGGATAGTACAGGTCTGTCCTCCTACCCCAATGTGTCACCATCCTAAATGAACGCTCACAACTCTCTTTATATCCTTACTGGATGATGTATGAGAGAAACAAAATAAAGGCGGAAACTTTAAACTTACTTTTTTTTCCAGGTGTTTAGAAGAAAAATTAAAAACTGCAGATTTTTGTTTGTTTGTTTGTTTTGTATTTAGTGGTCTTGTTGTTTTCTCTAGCCTATGGACATTTGGCTTCCTGTACATCCAAAGTCAATAGGGTCAAATACGCTACCCTTTGGGCCACCATGTAGCTGTCGTCTTGTTAATGACCATCTAAGCTCCAAGATGGAGATGTTATTGATTGGTGTAAGTCATTTATTTTAACACTTAAAAAAAAAAAAATACCTTTGTGCACAATGCAACCCAAGTCTTCAAGGAGCGATGAAACATTCTGAGAACAAAGATAAAGACACGCTAAGACCATCACAGAAGCTTTCTTATACAGATCTTGTTTCCCTAGGCTGCACATCTGAAACTTGTGAAAGAAAAAGAATAAAGACATGGCTGAAATACAGAAGCCATATAGATCCCACCAAATCAATCAGCGTGTGCACTAGGACTGTGTTTGAAGTCCAATAGAGCCAATTCCTACTGGCAAAAAAAAAGTTCAAGCAACAAAGAATAAACTTTCAGTGGTTGGCAAGAAAACAGAGATATTGTCTTCTAATGTATAACAAGCTGATAAATATGTTGCTTCCTGCTCTGGAGCCCTTGGCCCATGCTTTATTTCAGTGATGTTTACATTTCACTTACTAATATGATTACTGCATGGGAAGATAGTTCTCTCTGTCCTCTTGAAGTTAAACATGGTCATGTGACCGTGACATGTGATCAGAAGTGACTTGAGTCATATCTGAAGTAGAAGCATTTAACTGAAAGTAGAATAGTGGAAAGTTGGCCCCCTCCTGCTCTCCAGCGGCCTTGATGAAAATAACACATCCATATGGAGGTACCTCGTGGTCAGAGAAGACCAGAAGTCTGAGCCAGCACTCTGTGGACAGCTGTCCTGGAAAATGCCAGGAGCAAGATAGACTCCTCACACATGTAATAAACTCTTAAGCCATTGAGACTATGGGTGGATTTGTTTCCTTATTAACCTACCCTACCCTGTCAAATAAAATGCATATTCACTCGTACATACTGATTATAACTTGTTTTATAAATGCTGATGGAGTTAACTCAGTAGTTACATGAACTAACGGGTAAACTATTAGCGTCTTACAATTACTCTTTCACCTCCAGAACTTACACAAAAGCACTCAATTTTGTAATCATCACTTGAATTTTGAAGACTATATGCAGCTATAACATACAGGACTAATTTCTCAGAACATGTAGGTGTGTAGTGTTTACTATGCGCTGAGGCAGACCTCCACCGATGGCCCCAGTCCTTCTACTCTGAACCCCAGCTACTCCTCCAAGTGAAGGCCCAAATAATATGTACACAGACAGCATTTCCAGAGACCTGGCCAAAGTCTCTTGTCTGGGGAATCTTACAGAAATCTGTACCTAAAATACCCAGAAGTGACCATCTACCATCCCAAATTAAATTGTGCCTTTAGGACTAAAAACCTGTCAGGGGCACTCAAATCCTTAAATAAATAACATGTGAGAAACACAAGGCTTTGAATCAATGCAATGGTGTAATATTAGAAAGGTTTGAAGGTGTGTTGTAGCCTTTTACCCTGACTTCTTCCTCCCGAATACAAAGGCCTCCTTCTCCTTCCTTGCTTTCCATCTCTTCTTTCTCTTACACACGTGTGCATACACACACACACACACACACACACACACACACACACACATTTGCTGTTCACATACACATGCACTTTTATTTCCTGCCTAAAATAAAGATCTCAGGTTGGAGATCTGGCGCTTTTGAATCTACGTTAAAGCCAGGCACAATAAGACTGGGTGTTTCCAGAAGCTCATCGACCAGCCAGGCAAACGACAAAAAGACAATTTCAAACAGAGTAGAACACCAAGAGACTAACACCAAGGTTGTCTTCTGACCTCTAAACATGTTCTGTGGCATGCATATATGGACACACACACATCATATAGAACAAAAAATTAAAAATAATAAAGATAAATAATTTCATGTCCGTGCCTTTATGAAGCTTCACCAGTCTCTTCCTCTCCAACTGCCTTCTCTTTCTGTCACCACACAGTCTTCCATCCTTACTTGAACTCCCTTCATTCTTCAAGATCCAGTACAAAAGCCCATCTTCTGAAATTATGCTTGCCCTGCCACAGCTGCTAGCTGCTTCCCTTTGCTCCCTTTCCTGTGCGTCCCACTAATATAGCATAATATAAGTATAATCTTACTACATTCTTCATAATTACCAAGTGGCTCTCTGTGTTCCTGAAATGAAGCAACGCCATCAGGAATGGTGTCACTGGGGGAGGGGGTCCAGGAATGAAGTCATTTTCTCTGCTGATTTTAAGATTTAAAAAGGCAAGAAAGACAAGGTCAGAGCAACCAGCCAAATTGTATTGAAAATGAAAACACATACACAGCACAGCGCACAAAGAGACACACACACACCCCATGCAGGGCCGGGAACCAGAGCTGGCAGCCAAATCTTCTCACATAACCAAGATTCTATGTTCTGCGCACCCCCTTTCTCTCTCCAAGTTAGCCTTTGGGCTTTGGCTGGAAGACTAAGTAATGTGAACAAAGACAAAGTTTGATTGGCTCCCAGGAGAGGAGCCTGGCAAGAGACATGAAAACAATTCCTACGTAGGGGACAGGGGGTAGGGGGTGGAGGGAGGACCAGAAGGTCACCCGTCCTAAATGTGACCACACATTTATTTACCTTAGGCCTTCTTTCCATGTCTGTGTGATTCTTAGGGTTTGATTTGTCTAACATTTCTCTCCCACAGTAGCACAGTAGCTGATAATTACTGGGTACCTAATAAGTATTGAATGAGTGAAAGAGTTGAATAAGTAGCTAATTAGAACTTTAAAAAAAAAAAAAAAAACAAAGAGTTTTGCTATCACAGAGGTAATATGCCAAATTCTTAATTAGATAATTTCTGGTTAACAGATAGATCCACTAGATAATTATAAAGCTTAGAAAATAAAAGAATGCCTTCCTAAACGGATGGTGACATTCTAAATGGGGATAGCACACGCCTTTGTGATTGGCTGAAGTTTTGAAATATTAGCAGGGATTCCCTGTTCTCTGTGACCTTGCCCCGGCCCCAGCAGCTGGGTCGTTCTATGTTCTTACTTCAGGGAAAGGATGACACAGCAGAATGCAGAGAACAAAAGAGTTCATTCTTAGCATTCATGCTTCAAAAGCCCAGAAGCTGGCAAAGGCCAAGAAAAAAAAAATTTTTTTTTCTTGCTCTAGATAGTAAAGAAAAAATTTCCAAACTTGGAAGATGGAAAGACAAAACGTAAGAGGGTTTAAGTCTTGTGAGTCTGCTGAGAGGCACTCCTTGATCTGTCTCTCATGGGTAGGTTAATGAATGGGAGCTGTAGACCCTTAAAGCTGAAGGCTTGTTACTCTCCCCAGACTAAGCCCAGAAATATGCATTTTCCTATCCCTGTCATGGATAAGAAGCAAGAGGGGAAGGTATAGGCTGAAGACTAGACACAGCCTCTGGAACAAACCATTTGTCTTGCATGGCAAAGGAGCTGCAACTTATTTTATCATGCAGCCCTGGGCGGAGTGCAAAGACAAGCCAGTCCAACTTGTCACAAGGAGGGGAGGGAAGGAGACAGGAGGAAGGGGGACAGGGGGAGGAGAAGGAGGAAGCGGGCAGGAGGAAGAGGGAGAAGAGGAAGAGAAGGAGAAGGAAATGAGGAAGAGTGCAACTTCTGGATTGTGTAAGCTGCTGCCATGGCTACAGCTACTAAGACTTAACAATAAAGGGACAGCCTCATTTCTTTTTCCCCAGGCCTCCATTTCTTTCTGGAACATTCTGCCATGAAACTTCAGACAGGAAGGAAGAAAGGAAGACAAGCTTCAGTAAAGGAGAGGAAAGTGACTCAGAATATGTAGTATAACTGAATTCTTGAGTCACCGAATAAGTTTCATTTATTTCCATCTACATACAGTCCACCCGATTATCATATCATATTAGTTACTTTTCTGATAAACCACCATGACCAAGGCAACTTAGAAGGGTTTTATTTAGGCTTACAGTTCCAGAAGGACAAGAGTCCATCATGGCAGGTAGAAGCTGAGAGCTCCCATCTTGAACTACACGCACAAGCACAGAGGGTGAACTGGAAGTG